TTCTCTTGCAGTGCAGAAGCTTTTTAATAAGATGAGATCCCAGTTGTTGATTCTTTGTGCTAGTTCCCATGCTATTGAGATTTTGTTCATAAAGTCTTTTCCTATGCCAATGTCTTCAAGAGTTCTGCCTAACATCCTCCAGTAAGGTTAGTGTTTCTGTTTTAATATTTAGATCTTTGATCCACTTTAATTTCAGTTTACTGCATGGTGAAAGATATGGGTCTCATTTTAATCTTTGGCCGGTTGAAATCCAGTTTTTCCAGCACCATTTATTAAAGAGGCTATCTGATCTTTCCTCCAGTGAGGATGGTTGAGGAACTGTTCAATATTAACACTGCCGCCACGTATGTAGGTAAAACATTTAAACCCAACAGCAGTTTGGATGGTGCTGTGCTTCGGTACGGGGCATCGCTTCATCAGGGCTCAGGTGGCAGAGACCACACTTCTGGGCTCTGTGTGGCTGAGTCCCTCTGGGCATGCACTCGGGTGCGATTTGGGAGGGAGGGTGAGGAGAGGCAGAGCCTGGCTTTCCTGCGGGAGTGCAGGAAAGAGCCCCGGCAGAGTGGGCTGGCAGCCTCTGAGCTCCTTGTCCCCACCTGTCAGCGTCTCTGTGTGCAGGGCCCTGCCTGGGAACCTTAGGAGCTGTAATCCCTGGATCAGAAAGACAGTGTCCCGGCCATTTTCCTCCTCACTGGGAAAAATACTTAAGGAGGAGAGGGTTATTTTGGCCCGTGTTTTAGAAGCTTCAGTCCTTGCATGGTCAGCCGCTGGGGAGGAGGCTGCTCACCTCATGGCAGCCAGGAAGCTGAGCATGAAGGGAGCAGCTGAGGAGGGAGAGCGGCCTCCAGGTCCCACGCAGGGGCCACCTCCTCCCAGTGCATCCCGCCGCCTAACGGCAAGTAGCGGTCGCAGCCCCGCAGTGCAGTCTTCAGCCCAAAGCCCACCTATGAGACCATGAGACTCTAAGGGAACATCCGGTCATGATCCACAGGGACAGGAAGCCTGGCCCCGACCCTCTGATTCCTATTCCTCAAGTCCCTTTCATGCCATGGAAGTCTAACTCCCTACATGCACGATTTGGACATGGTTCGTACAAGTTGGACATCGAATGTTCCCCGGTGACTCGTGTATTGGGGCCTTGGACCACAGCGTGGCATCGTCGGGGGTGGGAGGGCCGTTCGGTGGGCTCTGGTGGGCGCTTGTTACTCAGTGGGGGTGGGCGCGTGGAAAGCTTTCAGGTACTTCCATGGGCCCCGAGTGAGAGACAGCCTGACTCCCACCCTGCTCTCTGGCTTCCCCTCTGGCAACCCGGTCTCCGACACACACGTGGCTCCGTGCTGCCGCCTACCCTGAAGTCCTCACCATAGCAGAGCAGTGCTCAACCCTGATGCTGCAGGAAGCAGGCAAGCCACAGCTGTAAGCAACTGAATGTGTGTGGCCCTGTAATAAGTCACATTTGAATTTCATAGAGTCCTCGTGTCATGCACTATTGCTCTACTTTTGATTTCTTCCAACCATTTTTAAAAAAAAATTCTTTTATTGGTACATTGTAGGTATACAACACAATTACAATTCTCATTGGGAACTGTACCTTTACATAATGCATCTTGGTTCTTATTTTTTCCCCATTCCTAGCCCTCCCTTCACGCCCTCC